TGAGTCTGACTGCTGCTGCGCATGATACGACTTCCTTGTACAGAAGTACGTCGCCCCAGAACACGCAATCCATCCTACTCATAGTTTCAATAGGGGACTCCCTCTGCAAGTGGCAAACCCTGTGTCAGGAAAAAAGTTTGTTTCCGGAGGAATGAACAGGTCAGAAGTGGGTCCCTCTTAACCAGAGCACCGGATTCTAGATGACAAGACTCTTGGAGCGCGGTTAGAACGATCTGTGCCCGTCAGTTCCGCAGGAGGACTCTATGGTGAGTTAAACTTTTCAAAGGTACCAGTCCTCATAAAGTATTTGAACCAGCAAGCCTATTAGAACCAGCGCCAGTGTCCGGTAGAGTTAGATATCTAGTTATCGACCATTTAACTGCCATTTAAAGCTTGAGAAGGAGGTTACATACCGGGTCTGCGATTCGTTGATGCAGAGGGAAGTCGACAAGTGGGTTTTATCTGTTAATGGAAAAGAGCCGCAGCGAAGTCGTTGGAAATGATCAGAACAAGACAGCTTCATGAAGCGAGTTCGCAATAAAGTTGAGGGTGAGCATATGTGGATCATGTCAGAGGGAAACAGCTGGTCGGTGAGGCGTGTTGCCCGTAATTGAGTGAGGAGACTCACCTCATGTATCCCCTCTTTCATTTGAGAGTCCCGAGGGATGAATTGCTTGTCAGTAGCTGGAAAACCTCTTCTTGGAACGATTGAGAGAACTTCCAACCAGCCTTTTACAGGGACCAATCATATGCGCCCGTCTTCGCTAGTACCTGAACCTTCGTCGGTATACAGAGAATGGTAAGGATGTGATGACAAAGGGAGAGGATAGCTTCTCTGATCACCGCGTCCAGCCATCCTCAGGTGCCTATTTGCCCCCGATTCGGCGGGTACAGCTTTGAGGGCCAGACACGACAAGCACTGGGAGACATATGCGTATATGCAACGAAATGAAACCTCCAACAGTTCTAAATTGAAACTGCTAGCTGTGCGTAGCCAATCGGTCGTCCCAATCAATGTGGCGCCTATCATCTACTACAAACCCGAAGTCGGCCCTGACAGGACATAGACCCGGTATTTGAGCATACTTGTGACATTGAATGTCCGGATATCTGACTATTGTACAGGTCAGATAGCCATAGTCGAGGCTGGATTGTATCATAGGAGATTGGCCTCCTGAATGGATAATATTGCGCCTTTCTCTGAGAATTAAACCGCAAATTAACCTTGTAAACGGATGAAGATAGGATGATAAGACTTCTAATCGTCTATCGAGAAGAATCTTGAAACATTTAGACTCCATGAGTGCCCGTCCTCCTTTACCTTCGGTGAGACGTGCGAAAAGGTGAAAGCCGATGGCCTATATTGCCATTAGATTGACTCACGGTGTTTGATACCTTTCTCGTGTCTGGACCGTTTGACTTTTCGAAGCCGCGTATGGTCGCATGGCCTCTCCGTAACACCGAGCGAAGAGACCAGCCCGTGTACTACGCCTTAATTCACATGTCGTGATCTAAGATTGATTTTGAGGAAGGTCTATCACCGTCCCATACCTCCATCAATCCACTGAGCCCGAGCCAGTGAAAACGGACAAGCTGTCGGGCGCAGACAGATAAGGGCTGCTGACATGAGACGCGCGCACAAAATCGAGCATATTCTCGGTGATCTAACCCAGCAGTTTGGAAAGATAAAAGGAAATCGAATGAATGACGGCGCCTGCTCCGGACGTCGCCTATTTCTGTTTGTGGACTCCTCCTCTCCTATTCGTTCCACTCCATGACAATTGAGGTTTTTACAGGGACGTATGGGTGTGAAGGTAGGAATCCTATCGAAAATGTACGTTGACATTAGGTCACGAAGAGGGCATCACCTCTCAGCGTGAAGCGCTGATAATCGTATGTTCTATTGAAAAATAACCTTGGATCGTAGCGAGCTTCATGGCTCACCAGGTTCCGACCCTGACGTTGACGGGTCATACTCTCTGCAGGTTCGACGAGCAGGAGGGTGTCAGCCGACGATGCCGCCAAATTTAGTCTACAAATTTGACTATAGACAGAAAGGTTTGCAAATTTTGATATTTTGTGGTTTGTGACATAGCTCGGTTGTTTAGACGCGAAAAGCTATTGACCCATTTGAGGCAAGACTGAAAAGCGTTTCGAAGGAGGGCGGCATTGGGGGGGGTACGCAGAATTCATCGGAATTCGTTCGTTTCCGAACATTCCTACGGTAAATCCGAGGTCTCGATTTCAAAGGGAAAATCCATAAAGAAAATTCTGCCAGAGGATAGATTGTTTAGAAGGACGAGGCCCCAGCAGTCTACGAACCTAGCTCACGGAGACTGGATTGCCCTCATTGAGATGTTCATAACGTAATACACATGTCTAGTCTTTGCTAGTGGTTTTCGAGAGTGGAATTGATGGTCTCGTTCATAGTCTATGGACATCTTGATAGCCATGAGGTTCTATGAGGTAGGGAGACTACCTCAACCGTAAGGTCGACGATGGCCTAGTCCTTCTTGTACGAGGATCTGTGCGTTGGCTAGAATTAATTAATTTGTGTTATGGGAAGACACCAATGACTTGACAAATGAAAGATAGAGGTTGCTAATGAACCAGCTGGTGAACGAACGACGTAAGGCAGAGGATGTCCTCTAAGCGGAGTTTGAATCTATTCTGTAGGCGCTTCACAACATGTTTTCCTTACAGGATCTCAGTGGGTGAGACATTAATCCGTGAGTTATTCTGTTTTTAATGCTGCAGTTTCTTTTTCAGAAATGGTGATCCTTGGCCCTTTTGGAAATCGCCCTCGTCTTGGCGACATTGCCACCCACCCACCTTTTGCTTGGCTTCTCCTCTTCACCTGCAATCCCAATTATGTAATCTACAGCATTCTACAAGACTCCGTAGATGGTCCAGAAATAGCACAAATACGTATGCGACAATGACGTCCAAGCAATGACATCACTCGAATTTCCGCTCAACTGACCCTATTACGCGCCTCTACTTAAAGAGTGGATTATTCCCAACGCATGACGACCAGCACCTCTCCATCTCCTAACCTCTAGGAGTATCTTTCAGGACTACATTATCATCAGGAGCGGCGACGTGTAACTTTGGAACCGTAGACCAGGATGTTTGGCTTTGGAAAATCAAAGGAGAAGGGCGGAGGTGCGACAACGACTAGGAAAGGTCCTCATGTCGGTAACAGACGCAATTTCCACTTGGGAACATGGCTGCGTCTGCACGGTGTTGACATCATCACAATGTTGTTCGCTGGGTGCGCCGGCCTAGGGATCTACTTTGCCCGTGAGTTTGTTACCGGTAAATCTTTGGAACGGAAAATTCTTATACTGCTTCTCTACAGCACCGGCGTATAACCACTACTTTCCTATCACATTCTCTGATGGAGAGGCGCGTAATAGGGTCAGTTGAGCGGAAATTCGAGTGATGTCATTGCTTGGACGTCATTGTCGCATACGTATTTGTGCTATTTCTGGACCATCTACGGAGTCTTGTAGAATGCTGTAGATTACATAATTGGGATTGCAGGTGAAGAGGAGAAGCCAAGCAAAAGGTGGGTGGGTGGCAATGTCGCCAAGACGAGGGCGATTTCCAAAAGGGCCAAGGATCACCATTTCTGAAAAAGAAACTGCAGCATTAAAAACAGAATAACTCACGGATTAATGTCTCACCCACTGAGATCCTGTAAGGAAAACATGTTGTGAAGCGCCTACAGAATAGATTCAAACTCCGCTTAGAGGACATCCTCTGCCTTACGTCGTTCGTTCACCAGCTGGTTCATTAGCAACCTCTATCTTTCATTTGTCAAGTCATTGGTGTCTTCCCATAACACAAATTAATTAATTCTAGCCAACGCACAGATCCTCGTACAAGAAGGACTAGGCCATCGTCGACCTTACGGTTGAGGTAGTCTCCCTACCTCATAGAACCTCATGGCTATCAAGATGTCCATAGACTATGAACGAGACCATCAATTCCACTCTCGAAAACCACTAGCAAAGACTAGACATGTGTATTACGTTATGAACATCTCAATGAGGGCAATCCAGTCTCCGTGAGCTAGGTTCGTAGACTGCTGGGGCCTCGTCCTTCTAAACAATCTATCCTCTGGCAGAATTTTCTTTATGGATTTTCCCTTTGAAATCGAGACCTCGGATTTACCGTAGGAATGTTCGGAAACGAACGAATTCCGATGAATTCTGCGTACCCCCCCCAATGCCGCCCTCCTTCGAAACGCTTTTCAGTCTTGCCTCAAATGGGTCAATAGCTTTTCGCGTCTAAACAACCGAGCTATGTCACAAACCACAAAATATCAAAATTTGCAAACCTTTCTGTCTATAGTCAAATTTGTAGACTAAATTTGGCGGCATCGTCGGCTGACACCCTCCTGCTCGTCGAACCTGCAGAGAGTATGACCCGTCAACGTCAGGGTCGGAACCTGGTGAGCCATGAAGCTCGCTACGATCCAAGGTTATTTTTCAATAGAACATACGATTATCAGCGCTTCACGCTGAGAGGTGATGCCCTCTTCGTGACCTAATGTCAACGTACATTTTCGATAGGATTCCTACCTTCACACCCATACGTCCCTGTAAAAACCTCAATTGTCATGGAGTGGAACGAATAGGAGAGGAGGAGTCCACAAACAGAAATAGGCGACGTCCGGAGCAGGCGCCGTCATTCATTCGATTTCCTTTTATCTTTCCAAACTGCTGGGTTAGATCACCGAGAATATGCTCGATTTTGTGCGCGCGTCTCATGTCAGCAGCCCTTATCTGTCTGCGCCCGACAGCTTGTCCGTTTTCACTGGCTCGGGCTCAGTGGATTGATGGAGGTATGGGACGGTGATAGACCTTCCTCAAAATCAATCTTAGATCACGACATGTGAATTAAGGCGTAGTACACGGGCTGGTCTCTTCGCTCGGTGTTACGGAGAGGCCATGCGACCATACGCGGCTTCGAAAAGTCAAACGGTCCAGACACGAGAAAGGTATCAAACACCGTGAGTCAATCTAATGGCAATATAGGCCATCGGCTTTCACCTTTTCGCACGTCTCACCGAAGGTAAAGGAGGACGGGCACTCATGGAGTCTAAATGTTTCAAGATTCTTCTCGATAGACGATTAGAAGTCTTATCATCCTATCTTCATCCGTTTACAAGGTTAATTTGCGGTTTAATTCTCAGAGAAAGGCGCAATATTATCCATTCAGGAGGCCAATCTCCTATGATACAATCCAGCCTCGACTATGGCTATCTGACCTGTACAATAGTCAGATATCCGGACATTCAATGTCACAAGTATGCTCAAATACCGGGTCTATGTCCTGTCAGGGCCGACTTCGGGTTTGTAGTAGATGATAGGCGCCACATTGATTGGGACGACCGATTGGCTACGCACAGCTAGCAGTTTCAATTTAGAACTGTTGGAGGTTTCATTTCGTTGCATATACGCATATGTCTCCCAGTGCTTGTCGTGTCTGGCCCTCAAAGCTGTACCCGCCGAATCGGGGGCAAATAGGCACCTGAGGATGGCTGGACGCGGTGATCAGAGAAGCTATCCTCTCCCTTTGTCATCACATCCTTACCATTCTCTGTATACCGACGAAGGTTCAGGTACTAGCGAAGACGGGCGCATATGATTGGTCCCTGTAAAAGGCTGGTTGGAAGTTCTCTCAATCGTTCCAAGAAGAGGTTTTCCAGCTACTGACAAGCAATTCATCCCTCGGGACTCTCAAATGAAAGAGGGGATACATGAGGTGAGTCTCCTCACTCAATTACGGGCAACACGCCTCACCGACCAGCTGTTTCCCTCTGACATGATCCACATATGCTCACCCTCAACTTTATTGCGAACTCGCTTCATGAAGCTGTCTTGTTCTGATCATTTCCAACGACTTCGCTGCGGCTCTTTTCCATTAACAGATAAAACCCACTTGTCGACTTCCCTCTGCATCAACGAATCGCAGACCCGGTATGTAACCTCCTTCTCAAGCTTTAAATGGCAGTTAAATGGTCGATAACTAGATATCTAACTCTACCGGACACTGGCGCTGGTTCTAATAGGCTTGCTGGTTCAAATACTTTATGAGGACTGGTACCTTTGAAAAGTTTAACTCACCATAGAGTCCTCCTGCGGAACTGACGGGCACAGATCGTTCTAACCGCGCTCCAAGAGTCTTGTCATCTAGAATCCGGTGCTCTGGTTAAGAGGGACCCACTTCTGACCTGTTCATTCCTCCGGAAACAAACTTTTTTCCTGACACAGGGTTTGCCACTTGCAGAGGGAGTCCCCTATTGAAACTATGAGTAGGATGGATTGCGTGTTCTGGGGCGACGTACTTCTGTACAAGGAAGTCGTATCATGCGCAGCAGCAGTCAGACTCA